TATTTATCAATACTGACATAGTTTGCAGATAGCTCAGGATGTGTGCCATCAACCCCATCATCAACTACTGCCACCAGAATTCCTTTTCCAGTATAACCAGCTTCCCACACAGAAGGGATATTGTATGTACTCTGTTTGTTTGCTTCATATTGACTTTTCTACAGAAAATTAACGACAAAGAAATGATTAAGCTCTATTTAGTGATTCATTCCAATGGGTTTATGCTTCTCACAAAACACATTGGATTTCCCCAACAATTAGGCAATTACTCTGTCACAATGAGGAATTCAAACTTTACTTGCATCAGAATTTCACACTGCCCCATGCATTACAGGTGGACCCTTCACTGTCAGTGTTTTCAATATTTCTAAATCATTCATTTGTTTTAGTTTTCATGTTACAAAATTAAGAGTGTGTGGAAATGGAGCAAAATTCATCAGAAAGCAACTTGGCATCCTCTAGGAGTCCCTGAGAGGCAAATGGGTCAAACTTAGAATTAATCAGAATAATAAGTAGTCAGCGATGTTCCCACCGCATGATGCCCACAGAAAAAAGATAAAAGATAAATAAACTTCAACATCTAAGCTTTCGTTTGACAAAACTTTCATTAGATTTGAATGTGAGATTTGTGTTTACAAGAAAGAAACTCGATCGTGTTAAAGCCCATGTCTACACTCTTTGTCCTTGAAAAAGAGGGCTTACCAAGCAAAGAAGGGACACCAAAGTCTGTTTGGGTAAACTTCACTGTATTTGTGTGCACTTTTAAGTTTGCAATATACTTCAACTTCTTGGCATTTATATAATGAATTAGTTTCATATGATATCACTCTTATCAGTGGAAATCACTTAGTGAAGATCACTTGGTGAATATCAGCTACTAGAAAAGTAAACTCATCTCAAAGAGCTGATGGGAAAGGGCTGAGTTTGAATTTATTGTTCATTCTCAAACTTTCATTTTGAACTTTTAAGAAATCTGGGCATGTTTAATTATACATCAGTGTTGAAATTCTTGTGAGGTGAGGTGCACATTTTAATTTAAAGGCCTTAAAGTATTAAGTAAAAAAAGGACATTTTTTGCATTACATAAGGTAATGTCACGCCATGCAGCCACGGGCTGACATCGGACAATGATAAGGTATATGAACTTTGTACATATGAGACATCGGGTCTTTTGTCTTCGAAGCATGTGCTGCTAGCCATAGTTTTGATTGCCGAATAAAAGCTGTTACAAAGCCTCAACCTCTGCCTCTTACACAGATCTTGTAGAAGTTGCCTGTTTGATCATTTGAATCATCTCACATGAATTGTATATAACTACAGACGCTGATTTTAAATTTTTACCCTGCGGTTTGGGAAATGGAGGCCACTGGTCTGTTGTTTGGTGGTAAAATTCCAGAGAGCAGCTTCACAGCCTCATCATACTTTAATAACTACGTATAGATATAAACCTCCCAATGGTAGACTACAATGGACAATGGGGTTGGGAATCTAAATTGACCTACGAGTCTTTAGGTTAGTAAATTTCTTCTCGGAGTGTTCCATTTCTCCCTGTCTATAACAATGTTGGCAGGTACTCTACAGTGCTTCTGAGTCAGAACAATTCTGCCAAATACTGGGTTTGCCTTCAAGCACATCCAGGGCTCAACACTAACAGTGGCCCACTAGCCACAGACAAGTAGAAATTTGGTTTTGGCCAGTGGTTTTCGATTTCCACTTGCCAGTTTGGCTAGTAAACAAACTGAAATTGTCGTACCATCTAAGATTTCAAGAGCCACTTGGCCAGTAAGTTGAAAAGTTAGTGTCGAGCCCATGTGAGTGACATCTACTGTCAGCTAATGTCATCTTAGTCAAATATTCTTTTTGGTAAGTCTGTGCAGGGATGTTGATGTAACAAATGACTGGAGTTCAGCAGCTGCTCATCTTATGGGGGGGGGCGGGGGGTGTCACTGCTAAGTGCAAGTGAATGGTCTGGAGTTCAGGATGTTTGCTATCTTTGCCCTAACAGTTGAGAGAACCTCATCAGTGACTAGCGCACCTGCTCCTTTAAAATGATCTTGGGGATCTGTCATATGGGATTTATCATCCATACCATCCATGTGGCTTGCTGAAGGTAGGTTGAAAATGCATCCAATCTTCTTTTGTCCACAGAAGTTGTCAATCTTTTGTTGATTTCCAAACTTCGATACCTCCTTTCAGCCTTTACCTAACAACTGTCCTTGTGACATTTGTGAGGTTGGCCTTGATTGCTCCTTATCTGTTCTAGATACCCACACACACGTATGAATCCTCTCTGGGGCATTTAACATGGAATCTGTGACATATCTGTCACAGTTGGAAATTTGGGGCCAAATTCCCTTATGTTACAGATATGCTGCAGATAGGTCATGCAGATATTTCACAGATATGCTGCAGACTTGAAGAACATATCTGTAGCCTATCTATCCGTTTGGCAAGGAGCTGCATGCAGTTATATTTCCAGATTCAACCTGGATAAAATGTTCTCAGTTTTTCTTAAACAGAAGGGTTTAAGGTAACAAATTAGCAACTTACAATATACCACTGACTTTCACGCAGGGGGTCTGAAAAAAGTTGATATCTTTGCTCTTTTTGTTGCATAAACCACTCAACCTGAAAATAGATTATAAGTTATAAGTTGTAGCTAAATTCATAGTTCATTTGTTTTTTTAAGTGTCATTTAGTATATTAATAAAAATTGGTACTCCAGACTTCAATTGACTAGTTTAGGAAAAATAAAGAGTTGAAAATTTTACTTTACATTTAACAAATGAATCAAAAGTGTGTAAAGCAAAAACAAGTCAGAGACTTGACTGACTGTATGGGCTCTAAGATTATGTACAGGACCAGTACCACATTTTCCGTAACAGGGCATGAAATTGCACCAGTGAATGCAACCAAGATGGCCAATGTTCCAGACATTATGTTGTATATTGTGAAACGAAATGTTCCTTTTGCAAACCTAAGAAAACCTTTCAATTTGACATTAGTGTCTAAGTGCATTTTTTGAACTATCCCTTATTTGGTTTTGAAACTATAATGGCTCCTAACTTTTTGGCTTTGGCAACCACTTTGGAAAAATTAGCAGCTAAATGGCTCCTTGAAAAAAACGTTAATTTCATCCCCTGCTGAAGATCAATACCAGTTATGCAATCAGGGATCAATGTTTAGAGGCTTATTCAGAACAAAAAGGGCTGGCAGAAAATTTCTTTCTTCAAAACAATTTAAATACAAAAGATCTTCACAACGCTGACTACATGATATCACTATAAAGCTGCCCAAAGTTCTTTAACTATCAACAGCAGGTTGCATCTTACCTTTGACTCCGAATTCAGCTTTCTGTCAATTTCCAATGACAACTGAGTCTTGTGGGATTGTTCGTGTAAATCAGGTCTTTTTAAAATAAAATAATTATGAAAAAGCTGAAAAAAGATAACAAAAATATAATAACATGGAATATATTTTACTTATTAAATAAGAGATTTTTTCTTAGTTTTATCTGAGTGACTCTGCTGTAGGTGACCATCCAATACAAGTAGAAAACATTACAATCAGGCTGTCAAGACTCAGTCAAGATGTTAAAAGGACTGCTTGATAGAGGTGACTGCTCAATAGCATTGAAAATTACAGCTCTGTAATTGTGGGGAAAATTTTTGGGACTACAACAAGCTACCACTTAATGCAGCGACCACGTAACATGATGCCGCTCAATAGAGGGTCTCCTATACTCTTTGTAAAATTGAATTATATCCAAAACTCTTTCACATTCATGTGAACTACAAGAGGATCATATTGAATCAATATTTTTACTTATTCTGATCTTAACCAGTCTTATGCAACAAAAAATGATATAGTGTCTTACCTACTCATTTAAAACCCAGTTATGGTCTGTTTTACGACTTTCATTGATTTACATCTAAGTCCACCTTCTGTCAAAACCCTGCCCAAAACCTAACAACATCCCTTCGATAATAATACTTACACTTTCAAAACAATAACATAGCCAAAAATTAATCAGGCAGAACAAAATGGTTTGCAAATCACGTTTTATTCAGCTCTTAACCCTGGTTCACATCTAATCGCAGACGATTGCACAATCGCTGAAACCACTCAACCAAAGATCGCGAATCACCTGTTCACATAGGATCGCAGCTAATCGCAGTGATCTGTGACAATAGAGTCCATGGTTTACCATTCAACCGCAATGCAATGTAACTCCAGTCAACCAACATAAACGCAAATTTAAAGGACGCTGAACTTTTATAGGTGTTAACTTTCTGCTTCTGTTGTTTTTACTTAAATATAAAGGAGAATTGCTGCCAGACCAAAGAAGAAACCTCACTTCTTGGTGCAGAAAGTCTTAAGAAAAAGAGAATTCTTTGCTAAAACTATGATCAAACAATCGTATTTTCTAATTTCTTCCATGAGCTGTTCTGTGTTAATTTCAACTTCCATCTTGTCAAAACGCACGCACATGTGAAAATTGATAAACAACTGATTGTCATGGTATCATGCTGCTTGCATAGCATTATTGGATGCATTTCAATCACATGATCGCAGAACTTTGTTCACATATGATCGCACTTGATCGCAGACGATCACAACCGGTCACAGGAATAGAACATGGTTCTATTCCTGTGATGCACGATGGTTCTATTCCTGTGATCCCCTGCGATCGCGATCGCAGAGCTGTTCACATACAACCACAGATGATCAGGGCATAAAATTGCGCCTAATACAGGCGCCAATGCAACTAAATTTTTCACTTTGGCGACCAAATCTGGAAAATTACTCACCAAATTGGAGACTATGAATTTCTAATCACACCTTACCTAGAGATCTAGTGATTGTTGAAGATTTGTAAAGATAAATCTGCAGCAAAGTTCCTCGTCAAGCTCATTTTAATTCCAAAACGCAGTTCATGCACGATGTGTTGAACGTAAATCTATCGTCACTAGATGCCATCTTGGATTTAGGTAACCTTTCTGGTTGTATATGGTCCATTCTAGTGTCCTCTTTGTAGCTCGTGTGAATTTAGTGGGCTCATTTTTTATCGCATTTGACAGCATTTTTGTGCGTGTGCGTGTCATAATGGCCACCAACTTTTTGGAATTGGCTACCACTTTAAAATATTTAGGAGCCAAGTGGCTAACAGAAAAAAAAGTTAATTTTGCGCCCTGATGATCGCCTGCGATCACCTGCAATCATTTGCCATCATATGCGAACTAGGCTTTACTTCTCATGTAACATTTAAATATATATATATAAAAAAAAACATTCACGCAAGCATGAAAATATGTGGTTATCTTCGATCACGTTTCACGAATTAAAACAATAGAGAGCTTAAGCATCGGACGTTTTTGATTCACGGACGTCAACCGGAAGTTTAAATATGAGCTTCGCAATCAGTACGCATGTGCAGACGTTTTTGACGTGAGGTTGCAGACGTGAAAGTGGGATGTTTGCCGTGCGTGTTGTTTTGCTTTGTTTCAGGACTGTCTCAGTACAAGACTGACATCATGTCTTCATTTTCAATCGTCAAATCAAACCCGTAAGTACATTGTAGGTTTCATAAGAAAGTAGTTTTTTATCTGCACTTAAACAATAACTTTTAAAAATGGGACAAAATGTGCCTAACTTCGTGTTTGGCACAAGTTTCCGCAGGTTCTGTTACTTGGTTTTGTTTGATCGTGAATTCTTTTTTGTTTGTCGCCATTCTTTTAGTTATCCTACGAGCAGAGGTTTTTTCCAGAACAGGAAAAATACTTATATAATAGCAAGTTATCTTGCCATGTGTTTGTTTTTGTTATTAGTTGTTTTCTTTTTGTCGAGAGGTTTATGTCGTTGCCGTATTTCACGTTCAAGAAAGTGCATTAATTTCCCCGCCATTAAGCTTTTTATTTTTAGTGCTGAAATGTGATCGACTATTTTATACAGCTACTACCTACAGTAACACTCGCTTCTATCTTTTTTCTTTTATGTAGTGGGCCTATGGAATGGTCTGAACAGCACGACGTAGCACTAATGAAAGAAGTCAGAGTGCAGAATCCGTTTAAAGCAAAGAAGAAAACGAGCAACCGAGCGCAAATATGGCTGTCGATCGCAGAGGCGCTAAGTGGATTACA